TTGAGTTGATCTGACCTCAGGTCAGGTCACCAGAGGCGGTTTGGTGACCCTACCTCAGAAAAGTTTGCAATCACGCCAGAGCTAGAGTTTTTGACCGATCAATTTCTTCTCTTCAGGCTTTAGTTAGGGTACCAGTATGTGCAATTTGTATATCTCGGAATTTTGATATCGGTGACCTAAGGTCAGGTCAGTTTCGCGACCTCCCCATTATAAGTCAATGGGGGAAAAATCAACTCCCTTTTTTACCACTAAAACGGGTCGGAATGGCCCCATATACCATACATGACTTCATATACGATCAACCTTCACTACCTTGAGGTCTGTTTTGCTGTTGGGCAGCTGTGAGGTCATGTGACGTCATCAAAGGTCACCAAAGGTTTTTGGCCAATAACTCCGTACAGGAACAAGATACAGACGCGTGGATGGTCTCATTGTGTTCAGCTCGTCAAGACGCATCGAATGATATACATGATGACCTCGAGGTCACGTGACCTGAGGTCAACCTTTGACCTTGACCTTTCGAGGTCAACATTTATATCATTCGATTCGGATTGACAAGAGGATCACGATGATGCCCTTAGTTTGTTCCTATCTTGACTAATTCGAAAGTTATTCGAGAAAAAACTCTCTCCATATCTAGCGCCGCCATTTTGACTTTTTCGACCCCTGTGACGTCATCTTTGACCTGACCTGAAAATGACCTTAGTAAAAATTGTAGATCTTGACCGTGCGTATCCGATGCCGTTTACCGTTTGTCGCTGCAATGTGTAGTTTTTGAGATCTGAAGGGGGGGCCGAATCGGCCCCCCCCCCCGCCAGTTTCTTGTCCCGGCGGAGCCCGCCAGGAATAGGGTTAAGGGCCGCTGGTAGTCTCTGCAAGCACCATGTCGTCAGTTTTGTCTATTTTTGGTCGCTTTGGGACCCAACATGTCTCTTAGCCCGCGCCCTGGTGGTGGGGGGCTATTTTGCCCCCCCCCCCTCCAGACTTCTCGATATATCTCCAGAACCGCTGCGCCGATCGTCACTAAACTTTCAATACCCTCCCGGCCATCAATTTTACACATTGTGTAAAATTTCTTCAAAAATACTTATTGTTGGTGCTCGGGAGACTTTATGGGTGCTCAGACTCACTTTGTGAGCGCTTGGGCACAGGGGCGGTCGCAGACTTGGCGTTTGGGGGGGGGGGCAACTTGGCAAAGGGGCCCCTGCACTGACCCGGAGGCCCCCGGTGCTAGCTAAAAGGGGCCCACGGGCGTAGTGCATGTGTGCAGAAATCCAGCCATGGCCGGTGAAGCAGGGGGGGGGGGGGGGGGGGTAGGGAGCGGCACCCGAGCGGAGGCTGTACCATGTCGAAAAGGTAACTTCATTTTGAAGCATTGGTAATGTCAATTGTCAATAATTCACGCAACTGTGAATTGACTACCGCAAAAAGTAAAACCGGCTAACTTAGCCATTTTCGAAGATATCGTGCTAAAACTTTTGACAGTGGGTCATCGGTTTGTGTTCAATCACATGTGTTCCGTTTCTTATTTTTTACTTGAGCACAAATGTAAGTTTTGAACACCATCACAGTAGCAAATGCATCGAAACATGGATAGTAGTGGGCAAAATATCCTGAATTTGTCGTGCTGCATCGAAAGTAGTGTTGATGAGAAACGGGGCTTTTATTCCAGATTATTGTGGGTGCATAATATATTGTCTGCACCCACTGGAGAATTATTGTTGGTGCAACTGCACCCACTGCACCCATGGTTCCTACACTTATAGGCCCATGGATAACGCTTCGGCGATACCTATCGCATAGAGGCTACAATGTGGCCCTTAGAGTACAGTGTCAGTTTCCTAGAGGCCGGCGTTGGACCCAAGGGTCAGCGAAGGGCCTCAAAGGTCCCAGATGGGGCCCCAGAGGCTGATTTGGGCCCTGAGAGGCAAGTGCGTGACGCCCAAAGATAAGTCTTGGGCTCCCATAGAACATAATAGGGCCATCAGTGGCCGGTGTAGAGACCTCATAGGCCAGTTCGGGGCATATAGAGGCTAGTTCGGGGCACCTCAGAGGCTAGTGTGGGGCCTCAGATGTCGGTGTGAGGCCCTTAAAGACCGGTATGGATCCTCAGAAGCCGGCATCGATCCTTCAGAAGCCAGTACGGGGCCGTCAGAGGCACATAAGGCCAGGGGTCAGTTTGGGTCCCAGAGACAGAAATGGGACCATCAGAGGCCGGTGTGGAACCTTTAGAGGCCAGTTTGGGCCCTTAGAGGCCAGTTTAGGGCCCTCAGAGACCAGTACAGGGCCTGCAAAGGGCAGTTTGAGACCATCAGAGACCGACTTAGGCACACGGATGCTAACGTGGGTCCTTACAGGCCAGCATGGAGCTCAGAGGTTAGCGTGGGGCCCTAAAAGACCGACATGGGTCGGCGTTGGACCCCAGAGGCCAGCCTCAAAGGCCAAAGATGGGCCCTCAAAGGTGATGCGGGCCCTAAGAGGCCGGCATCGGGTGTCCAGAATCCAGTGCGGGGCTCTCAGAGGCTAATGTGCGCCCTTCAACCCAGCATGGGGCCCTCAGAGGTCAGAATGGGGCCCTAAAAGACTGGCATGGGCCGACGTTGGACCCCAGAGGCCAGCAGAGGGCCCTCAAAGGCCAAGATGGACCCTCAGAGGCCAATGAGGGCCCTTAGAGGCCGGCATCGGGTCTTCAAAATCCAGTGCGGAGCCAATAGTTTAATTTTGTTTATTACGCACGAAACAACCACAGGCTCCAGGCCCACTTACGGCTGCAGTCACATAGCATACATGGGGCACCTAAAAGATGCACGAACGTAAAAGACGAATGACTAGACAGCGTAGTTTAAGCATATGTAGATAGCACCGCTGCCCCAACCATGGACATCAGTAGGAACTAGGAACCCTCACTGTTTGCGAACTTAAAAACCTGAGATCTAAAAGAAGATGATGAGTAAAAGAAATCAGTCCCTGGCGCTTTTTTTCAAAAGCGCGTTGCATGTTTCCGGTAACCGCGACAGGAAGCCGTTACGCACAGATTTCACTCGCCCGCCCGGCACATGGAACATGCCAGTTTGACGGGTACGTCGTAAGGGAACAGCCAGCGAGAACACGGAGACAAGATACTGGCAGTCCAGGCGGTCATGCATGACAGACTGCAATAACCTCATATCGGTTTGAATCAGGCGAGCTTTGATGGACTGGATTTTAAAATGGTTCAGGAGTGTGATGTAGTCCATGGAAGGGCAGCGGGGCTGGGTTTTACGCCCTAACCACATCAGAAACCTATGCTGAACACGTTCCAAGCGTTTGAGATGAGTTGCGGCGGCCCCGGACCAGGTGACACTAGCGTACTCCATCACGGACAGCACGTGGGCTCTGTACGCTGACAAGATTGCGTGATGATTGAAGTCTGGGCGGCGGGCACATGGGGACATCTGGACACTGCGCATAAGCAGACCGAGCATACGGTTCGCCTTGCCAACCACGACATCAACATGATCGGCAAAAGTCAGTTTTGCATCCAGGACGACACCAAGATCGCGCATCTGCTCGCATCGCTCCAGTTGATGTCCGTCAAGGTAATAAGTACCCTGTACCGGGGCTAATATGGCTAACATGTGTCCTTACAAGTCAGCATAAGGCCCTCAGAGGTCAGTGTGGGGCCCTAAAAGACCGGCATGGGCTGGCGTTGGACCCCAGAGGCCAGCGGAGGGCCCTTAAAGGCCAATATGGGCTCTCAGAGGCCGATTCGGGCCCTTGGAGGCTGGCATTGGGTCTTCAGAATCCAGTGCGGGGGGCCTCAGAGGCTAATGTGGGTCCTTACAGGCTAGCATGGGTCCCTTAGAGGTCAGTGTGGGGCCCTAAAAGACCGGCATAGGCCGGCGTTGGACCCCAGAGACCAGCGGAGGGCCCTCAAAGACCAAGAGGGACCCTCAGAGGTCAATCCGGGCTCTTAGTGGCCGACATCGGGTCTTCAGAATCCAGTGCGGGCCCTCAGAGGCAATTAAAAGCTAGTCTTGAGACAAATGAGGCCACCAGAGCCTGTGTGAGGCCCTCAGCCGCCGGTTGGGCCCCTGAGACCGGTTTAGGGGCCCTCAAAGGCCAGTGGAGGGCCCTCAGAGGTCAACGTGGGTCATCAGCGGTCAATGTGGGCGCTTGACCGCTACTGAAGGGCCCTCAGAGGTCAGTGCAGGACCCTCAAAGACCGGTATGGGAGCTATTAATAGCTGGCGTGGGCTTCTCGAGTCTCGTGACAATCGAATACGGGTCAGGGCCCCATACGCCCATGGGGGCCCATCGGTTGTTTGGGGGGGCCAAATGATATGATGGCTTCCCTGATTTGCCTTTGGGGGGGGGGGGCATGGCCCTGATGGCCCCCCTGCAACCGCCACTGCTTGGGCACACATAAAGAGATATACAACCCCACCCCTGAGGGGGCATGTAACACCATTTGCCGACCTCTACTGTCTAAGTGTGACTGTCTAATACTTAGTCACTAGTCTATGAATGTTTTTCAATAGCATGCCGTTTACTTGATGTTATGACACATTCCGAACTCCGAAGGCCTATAAGCGGTCCAAAATGCGACCTTTGACCTGATCTGTGGCGTCATCGGTTGCATCTACGTCAGCTAAAATATTTGGGTCACGTGGTAGTTTCTTCGTGGGACTATGGAACGCCGTTTGAGTTTTGATAATCGGTCGGTAATTTTTCGCAACGTAACGCTGTTTCAGGAATAGGCTCTTTAAAATTATCACTGAAGAAATTCTAAGGTTTGATGCCTAAAGGTAGAGAGAAAAGCGCTATCTATTTTTAAAGCTGCCTAGTCTTCCAGGAGGAAACCTTATTGCTGACATTTTTTGTGGCATGTGGCTCAGTCTTGCTGTGCTGGAATAATGCTCGCCATTTGTTTTTAGTGTAGTACTCGTAATGTTTGGTGTGTAGCTCAACCACGGCTCTGGTTCCGTGTTCTTTATTGCGTGCACCCTTTTGCTTTGTAGGCGTGTTGACGGCATTGAGGAGGACGAAGCGTTCCTCAACATCTCAGCATTCGCCAGCGTCCACCAGAGCCACTGGTCTTCCATCGACGTCGGCCTGGAGACGGACGACACGGATCGCTTCCAGGTCAGCGCCGCCGGACCACCACAAACACAGAGACAGAGACAGAGCCAGAGCCAGAGAGAGAGAGAGAGAGAGAGAGAGAGAGAGAGAGAGAGAGAGAGAGAGAGAGAGAGAGAGAGAGAGAGAGAGAGAGAGAGAGAGAGAGAGAGAGAGAGAGGGAGAGAGAGAGAGAGAGAGAGAGAGGGAGAGAGAGAAAAAGACATACAGAGAGAGAGTGAGTGAGAGAGAGAGACGGAGCCAGAGAGAGAAGGACAAAGAGTGTGAGAGAGAGAGAGAGAGAGAGAGAGAGAGAGAGAGAGAGAGAGAGAGAGAGAGAGAGAGAGAGAGAGAGAGAGAGAGACAGACAGACAGACAGACAGACAGACAGACAGACAGAGAGACAGAGAGACAGACAGAGAGAGACAGAGAGTGAGTGAGTGAGTGAGTGAGTGAGTGAGTGAGTGAGTGAGTGAGTGAGTGAGAGAGGGTGGGTGCGTGCGGGCGGGCGTGTGCAGGTGTCAAAATCGCTGGCATCAAAATAACTGGTGCCCCAAAATAGCTATTATAGTACCTACATGTCCGCCACAATGTTCCTAACTATCTGTGAAAAAAAAAAAAAAATGGAGTGGGCTGATGAGCTACGAACGTGAACCTTGGCATAGCTTCAAATGAATACCTAGGCAATGTTTGAGGAAAGTTTGGTGGTTGTAGTACCTAAGATGACGTCACAGTGACGTCATAAAGTTTTGTCGTTTTCCGATATGGACCGTTTCTGATGACGCTGAGCATGAAACTCAGCTTTAAATGAACTAGACAGCATCTGCTGTCATCCTAAAACATCTAACTACACTTCCATCTAGTTTCTGACCAATAATCGACCCTTTATATTCGGTCCCATATATCTGATGTATCGTGAGGAATATGAGAGTCGCAAATCTATAATTTCACTTATGACGTCACTGTGACGTCATTTTAAATGGGATCGACACCAAATTTGGACACAACCTCGGCTAGGTATTCAGGAAGATGTGTGCAAAGTTTCGCTTCTCTATCTCTTCGCGTTGCGACGATATTGTCGCAGAAGTAAAGGGGGGCAACTATATGCCCCCCCCCCCTAGCGGCCGGCGGGTGGCGCGGAGGCCCAGCGGCCGCCGGGATAACTTAAGCAGCTAACGCCGTTTTCATGCATCAACATCACGCAACGGCGTGTGACCTTGAAAGACAGTCAGTGTTGGTGTGGAAAGTCAATGTCGCATGGTGTGTCAGAAGTGGAAATAGCCGCATGGCTTTAGTTCTCCAGCCTTGTCAATAGATGGCAGTACCACAATATGGGCAGCGGATCGTGCAATTGACGTCAAATTTTCGTTACCTGCTAAGAATTGAATGGCGGATCTTGTCATGCAAGAATCAAGTAAATCGGTCCACAACTTTTCTAGCAACAGGGGTATGAAGTCAAACACCCTGCCAGAGCGGCGGCGCGGCGGCCGGCGGCGGCCGTTACGTGCCGCCCCCCAGGCGCGCCTGGGAGCCTGGCGGCGCTGAACGGTTCCGACTTGGCACTGCACTCAAACCTGTTAACTGCTTGGAAAGTAGTTATTATAGCAAAATTTCCGTTCAAGTGAGGAATAATCCAAGGGCAGGAAGCATGTACACTGTACAGGGTGTCCCAAAAATAATGTCACACCTTTCCAGCGTCAATTTCATGAAAATAACAAACATGAGAGGCGCGCTTTTCTTACATATGCATCCCTTCCCACCTTCTCCCTGATGCAGGCAAGCATACGGTCCGAGACATCTGACATCAACATGTCTAGCTTCTGTGGACTGATCTTGGACCAGACAGATCGAACGTTCCTGGTCAGCGTGCGTTCAGGTTATACTGGCGCCGTTTTGCTCATGTCTTACAGGACGATCGCCCAAAGATTTTCTATCGGCGACAGGTCGGGGCTATTCACCGGCCATTTGCCCTTCTTCCAGAATGCTAGGAAGTTCGATCTGTACCAGTCCTTCGTCGTTCTAGCTCGATGAGCCGGGGCGCCGACTTGTTGAAAGATGGCCCTGGACATGTTCAGCAGAAGTTTTCGGCTGGAAACGTGGCTTGTTGGGCTTCAGCTTTAGAGACATCCGACCGGTACCGCTGGATTATCAATTTAGAGACTGGATGACTGTTGGCAATCAGCCTCCTTGCCAGTTTCCTTGTGGATAAGCCCGTCTTTAGCTCCGCACTTCGCGATGACGATCTGCGCTATACCCGGCTGGCGAAAGTCTTCCTGCCGCGACCTAGCTTGTTCCCAGGTATCTATCCGCTTCTGTCGCGTGAAAACCAGCGCCAAATCGTGCGAAAACTCATGTACAGTACCTCGGCGACCTGGCCGTGGGTCATGCAACCGGCAACCATGCCGACTGCCCCGCTGCGGGACGATTTGCTCTGCAGTTTCGCCATCCTGGACACCTGGTCCGCGCGCGCTGGGTACTGCCCCGGAAATGACCTCCGTACACCCTTTGACCGGTCAAGGTCACAAAAATTCGAAGGTCACGTGACTAGAATGTAGCCAATATGGTCTGGGAGCCAGTACCGGTGAAATTATATTGATATTGCACAGTAGAAGGCAAAACAAAGGTGGGAGGGTGTGACATTAATTTTGGGATACCCTGTATGCTTGTGTGCATACTGTGTAAGCCAAGAAACTGCATTAGTAGATACTCGCTAATATTAGACCCAGCCAAGTCCGAACGCATTCCAGGGATGTGTTTCTGATGGGTCAACAATATTTATCGTTCGATGGCGGATACAGTTTTAACAATGCAATTTTTTTTTGCACAGCTTGAGCTCTATTCCTTGAATAATTCTCTTCAACGCCTCATTCCTAGTTAAGCGAATTAGTCCACCCTGGTTCAATAAATGAGGCGATTTCGCCACAAGGTCGCGGAAAACCGACCGAAAACGGCCGCGCTCAACGTTAACCCGCGCCGGGCCGGGGGGGGGTGTTTGAACACCCCCCCCCCTGCGGTTTTTCGCAGTTTTCAGCTATTTTTGGCACACCTGTTTGCATCTTTTCCGCACATGTTGTTAAAATTTCAGACTCAGGTCGCCTTAGGTCAGGTCACCAGGTCACGCCAAGTGACCTCACCTCAGGAAAAATAAGAATGCTCGTCATAGCTACACCGATTGATCGATTACCTTGAAACTATCAGCGATTGATAAGAGTAACATTATCTATAAAATGTATATATCTCGGAATTTTGATATCGGTGACCTAAGGTCAGGTCAATTTTGCGGCCTCTCCATTATAAGTCAACGGGAGAAAATTGAAAAGCGTCTGTTTTGCACGAACGCTATTCTAGACACTCAAACATCGAACTGTCGGTACGATTGACACATTTAACCGGAAAATGGCAACTGTGATCCCTCGTTATGTCCCTGAGGTCATTTCAGGTCACGAACAGAATCTAACAGTTTTTTTGCTAATAACTTCTGATAAAGGCGTGCCAGAGCGCTGAAAACGCCTTAGATGTGTTCGGCTCGACGTTGCGGATCGACTGATATGCAACATTACCTTTTCCGGTCAAGTCATGATCTTGACCTGAGGTCAAATTTTCAAGTTGACCTTTCAATGTCAAATTATAGTTCATTCGACGCGTCTCGACGAGAGGAACACGATGCTGGCAAAAGTAATGTCATGGCTTTTTTGAGTCAAAAGTTATTGCGAAAAAAAACGTTTTTCGTAATAACGTTTTTTTTTTAGTTTTTGCCCTCTGGAGGCTAAACCGTTGACATAAGGTCAAATCTGAGGACATTGCTCAGAAAGGTCTGTAAAAGGGCTATCGAATGCGCTTTTCCGCGGCGCTGTAGCTCTATCGGTTCCCGAGATAGCCGTCGGCAGTTTCCAAAATGTTGAAATAGTCAACATTTTACCTCTGGTGACCTCTGGTGACCTGACCTTTGACCTGACCCAAAAAATGACCGAAGTGTTTTCGTCCTTATTTTAAACGTTCTTTCGATTGCCGCTTACCGCGTGTCGCTACGTGGCCCAGGAGCCGAGTTAGAAGGGGGGGGGGTGTTCAGACACCCCCCGGCCCGGCGCGGAATCTCAGAGCACCGGCCCGGCGCGGGTTAATTTGGGCATGCAGCCTCTTTAAAACTCGCATTGGGCGGGTAGGGTTTCCCAGGTATTGGCTCCAAAACACCGTATTCGGCTCCCAAATACGTCCAAGTGATCCGCCTCGTTCCTAGTTACGCTCTAATTAGATCAAGTGACTCATAAGGAGCGAAAAAGCGACAAAAAGCATGACTTTTCCTATGGCGGCGGGCTGCCGGGTTGCCAGACGGCGCACCGGCTATTTCCACTTTTGACACACCATGTAATTTTCAGATTTCAAGGTCGTAATGTGAAATTCAAACCTCCGTTCTTTGTTTGAAATCGTTAGGGCTCCTCCTGGATGACCTTGAAATTCAAATTTACTCCTAAATTTTTGTTCTTTTGGTGTTCATCTTTCACTGGAATTGGAAAAAATATACTCATGATTTCAAGATTGTCCGACAGCCCGTTGACTGAAAAATTATTGCATTTTTACAAAGACGCAATTTTCGGAAAAACCCATCCAACGATTTTAATAGAAATTAAATTTTTGAAATCAGCCTACCGTCAGTTCTCGAATAACAGTTATAGTAGTAAATACATAGCAGTCAGTTAGTATATTTCGTTTCCTTTGTAAATCACATGACCTTCCGACGAACGGCGTGTGGTGACTGCCGATGCCCGCCGTCCCAGGTAGCAATTTACGGATTCATGGCCGGCGACGGCCCGGTGCTGACCAGCAACCTGGGACTGGACCGGGTCATTCTGCGCGGCGTCGCCGGCGACAACCCGTGCGGGGGCAACTCGACGCTGCCGCCGACGCCGACACCGGCGCCCACCTCTCCGATGACAGGTCAGTCGACGGCAGACGACGGATGACGGGGAGGACGGATAGGGCTGACCGGGCTGCCATTTGAAAGGTGAAGCCAATAGCTCGTTTCGCTAGCTCAATGCTCTTCTGCGTTGTCCATTGCATTATCCAGGACTTTGGCTACAGTTTACCCCCGGACCCAAAATCGAGAAAACATGGCCTGTCTGCGTCTAGTTTCAATCTCTCTCTCTCTCTCTCTCTCTCTCTCTCTCTCTCTCTCTCTCTCTCTCTCTCTCTCTCTCTCTCTCTCTCTCTCTCTCTCTCTCTCTCTCTCTCTCTCTCTCTCTCTCTCTCTCTCTCTCTCTCTCTCTCTCTCTCTCTCTCTCTCTCTCTCTCTCTCTCTCTCTCTCTCTCTCTCTCTCTCTCTCTCTCTCTCTCTCTCTCTCTCTCTCTCTCTCTCTCTCTCTCTCCCTCTCTCTCCCTCTCTCTTTCTCTCTCTCTCTCTCTCTCTCTCTCTCTCTCTCTCTCTCTCTCTCTCTCTCTCTCTCTCTCTCTCTCCAGAGCCGTCGCCGGGGCCGACGGAGCCACCGACGAGATCTCCCACCACACCTCCGTACGACTTTGTCTGTCCGACCCAGTACGGCCTGTACGAGGACGCCGCCGACTGCCACTACTTCTACCAGTGCAGCAACTGGACGCCCTACCGCATGGTCTGCCCGTCGAGCCTGGTCTACAACCCGAACACAGAGCGGTGCGACTATTCAACGAACGTGCCCGGATGCTGAGCGGCGCGCCGGTCCGGCGCCGGCGGCACCGCCCGGCACAATGTGCCACCTCTCCGACACTCCGAGCACAGTTTTACCAGCAGAAAACCCGTCGGCCGCCAACACTCTTTTTCTCATGTGCCCCAATTTCGTAGGCTACGCGACAAAAATGTTAAGGTAGAAATATATCCGTCAGAATAGTGTTTTTTTAACAACGGAATGATATACATAATCACTTTTTGCGTGGTTGATTAAACTTGTGTGTGAGACTTAAACACGCTAGAAGTAAAAAGACTGGCAGCCCGGCGATTTTTCTCTTTGTAAAACTGGCCTTTGACCTGTAGTATGCAGTCGCCGCTGCAAATGGTGGGGATGACCCATCGCTGCACATACTGATAGGGATTTGACTACGTATTGATTACAAATGATGAGTGATCACGCATTGATTACGTGTTGATTACGCTTTGAATGCGTCGCTACCAGCCTCTTGATCGAAATTTGACGCCTAATAAAATATTATTCGCATTCCAAAAGTAATATACGAGAGCGTATGATAGGTATGATACTGAGCGAGGCCGGTGTAAACTAATTTTCAAGACTGACGTTGTTACTGGATTTTTGAACGAGGCCGAAGGTCGAGTTCAAAAATTGTAAGGACTGAGGTCGATGAGGTCTTTAAATTTTATCACCGGCCGAGCTTGGTATGTGTCTTAAGGCCGACCCACAATGGACCTCGCATGCGGGTTGCGAGTTTGTGGTTTTTCGTTTTTTTTCAAAGTTAGAGGATACACTCTACGTTGAGTGACCCACACTGCATATAGCGAGGAAGTGCGAACTTTTGACTTGCGAGCGATCTCGCGTCGCATTCCAAAGTTGACTTTGAGTCAACTTTCGGTTTTCCTCGCTGCGAGGGCTACGAGTTTTGATGTGTTTCGTTGATGTCGGTTGTTGGTTCGTTGTGCTGTTATTGAGATGCTACGTAATTTTCTAAAAGTGCATCGGCTTCACAGCATTCATGGAATGAGTATAAGAGAACGGTGTTCTCACTCATGAATTAGTGTGATACCCGCAAACCCGTAACCCGCAGACTCGCATGCGGTCCAGTGATGGCCAATGATGAGTTTATTTTAGGCCGGTGCTCTTAGCAGATTTTTGAACGACGCCATCCTATTATACTCGGTTCTGCTCTGTTCTATATCAAGCTTGCGGTTGGATTTCCTTCGGCATTATGCAGGGGCGTAGGATCCTATACAGTTGGGGGGGGGGGGCTTCAGCCCCCCAACTTGCTGGTCAGCCCCCCCCCCCAACTTGCCAGGCAGCCCCCCCCAACATTATAAAATATGGACAAATAAAAAAAGCTCAACTTAGCAAGGTTAAATGGTAAAATTTTGGGTAGTAGTAAAGCAGGCGTGACACTTCTTTTTGCTACCAAGGAGAGGCGCTGTAGGTTAGGCTGTAGGTTGTAGGTTTTAAGTTTTAGGTGGTAGGTTTTAGGTTGTAGGTTGCAGGTTTTTGGTTGTAGGTTGTAGGTGAGGTTAGGTCAGGTTTGGTTAGGTTTGGTTTGGTTTGGTCCGATTAGAAAGAATCTCTGGAGCCTAGGTATAGCGCCTCTCTGCTTTACGACTACCCAATTTTGGCCTTTAAACTAACTGGGGGGGGGAGGGTTTTGTAAATGTGCATTGCAATGGAGGGAGTAAATTTAATTTATAAATTTAGTTTATAAAATGACTTTCGAGTCATTAGAAAGAACATACTAGCAAAACAAAACCAGGAAGTCAAGGTACACATAAAAATCAACTGTGGTTTTAGCAAGCCTGAAATAATCAATTGGTCAGCATGTTAGAACACCAGTACAGCAGGCGTCACCAAGCAATTTCGGTTGCGGTATTTTAAAAGAACCAAGCATTCTGCATATCACTCGAAAACTAATTTTATTCTAAATAGTTCCAGATCGGCACAGAAACGAGCACACACAACCTTCGCGAAAATAATGCATCGGGTATCTCACCTCCCGAACGTTGTCACACCGTTTTTGTAACAAGACTAGTAAAATAGAGGTGAAATCAAGGCCGGTGAAATATCATCGTCAGCTGATTATGTTTATGATTATGTCAAATCTTTAAATAATGATAACGTCATAATTGATAAAAATAAACAGGCATTATCCTAACACTTTTTCGTGAAAGAAATTTGCACGTTCACTAACTTAAAACTTTTTTTTCTCATCTTTTTCTAGATATCTCTGTCTAAGATAGATGTCAGATAAGATAGATTTGATTCAGAAGAAGGCCAGGTCTTTTTTACGGAATTTGACGCCATCGTAGGCATAATCAGCTGACGATACTGCACAAAACCTTTGGATGTTATTATGCGTGCGTTCGGCATCCGGATAATCAGAGATAATCATCCGGGATCAGCGATGATTATCGGGGATTACGTTCGGTATCGCGATAACGAGACATCCTAAAGATAGGCACTCGCCAATAATTTTCCGGCAGAGAATATCCAAACGATAATATGTTCCGGATGCCGAACGCACGCTAAAGCGGCCCAGAGAGCAGACAAAACACAACAAAACAATTAAGACGCGACACTCGACAGTCGACAGCTTCGTTTCGTTTGTTTATGGGTGGGTTCAAGGCCATGTGGGTGGAACTCGGACGGTCGGACGGACGATGAGGACAATTGTTCAGGGTCGTACCCAAGATGGACGGGGTGCGCCCCCCCCCCCCTCGGGTTTTCAGGAGGCCCCCGTGGGCCGAAGGCCACGGGGGCCAAAATCACGTCGGAGGCGAAAGACATTCAAGGGTATCCCAAAAATCGCGTCAGGACATTCAGGGCCTCTGACCAGCCTGACAGCTAGGGTCCTTCTTACTTCCTGGGGCCGCCTGTGAATAACCGCTAGTGTCTGTGTCTGACAGCTAGGGCCCGTCTGACTCCTCAGTAGAGAGGAGGCCCTCTGTAGAGAAGAGGCCCCTTTAGAGAAGAGGTCCTCTGTAGAAAGGAGGCCGGCCCTCTGCAGAGAGGAGGACCTCTGTAGAGAGGAGACCATCTGTAGAAAGAAGGCCCTGTGTAGAGAGGAGGCCCTCTGTAGAAAGGAGACCGCCTGAAAGCAGAAGGCCCTCTGAAGAGAGGAGGGCGGAGGCCCGCTGTAGAGAGGAGGCCCTTTGAAGAGAGGATGCCGTCTGGTACCAGCATGCGGCTGCTGGAGAAGGGAGAGCCAGAGCTGGCATTACGGGCCAAGGAGCTGGCAGGCCGGGAGTATGGACGCCTGACGCGACTCCCTCCGGACGATCCCGCTCGGAAGCTCATTGATAAGACGCCGCCGCCTAGACTGCAGTACAGCGCCCACCTCCATTGGATGCGGAAGAAACAGGAAGCCCAGGAGGTGGGAGGAGTGCCGGCGCCGTCGCCGCCAGATGAGGACGTTGCTGGCCTCCAGCATCGACCCTGTTTCCGACGAGTGGGGACATAGGTGTCCAGTGTTCGGGAGTACTGGAAAACCTCACGCCGGAAGGACGTGGAAGGATGGTAAAAGTCCACCGACGGACCTTGTGCCAAAAATTGATTGCACAACCGAGGAATATGCACAGAAAGACAGTTCTTTACGGTGTTCACTCTCCCGAAAGGCACATGAAACAAGCCCGTGCGGCGGTTACGCCTCAGGAACATTAACCCTCGCCGGCACAGGCCAATTTGCGTCTTTCGACGGCACAAGGGGTTGGTACACTCGGGGGCAGATTAATGTTCCACCACTCCCTACCCATCGGGCTCCCATGGCTCAGCACTGGCTGCTGCCAGTGTTGCCTGCCCTCAGCACTGATCAGCACTGCCTGCCAGTGCCAGTGCTGCCAGTGCTGCCACTGGCAGCAGCCAGTGCTGAGCCATGGGAGCCCGATGGGTAGGGAGTGGTGGAACATTAATCTGCCCCCGAGTGTACGACCCCCCCCCCCCTCGCGTTTGGCCCCTGATCGAGCTAGAGCTTCGAGGAAAAAAAACGAGCGTGTTGCCCGTCACGCGAGGAAGCCGATGATATCCAATTTTAAGGTCCTAGGTCATCGGATGACCATCCAGGTCAGGTAATGACCCAAAAGTCGGGAAAATCGGGACCTGTTAGAAAATCGTAAAGTGTGGCTACCATGAGGTTTTCCGGGGTGCTGATTACGAATATCGTGTTAGTTTTGATCACAGGTGATGTCTTTGGGCATTTAGACCAGGTCGGGTCAGGTCAGGTCATGTCAACCGGTAGGGGTCGTGACGGGTATTCGTAGTACGTGTCAACCGCCTCTGACAGCTTCGTAACATGTTACGAAGGCACCAAAACTACACTGACAACCAAAACGATTCTCTATTCCCTTTGATCATGGTGTGTCATGCTCCTATAACTCTGCCGTTTTCCTGGCGGAATGCCCTTAAGATACTCAAATGATTCCTCAAATGATTCCTTTTAAGCATATCAGGAGTTTTGGTCTAAAACAACACCCTGATCATTTTCTTCGAACATACCCAAACTATACCCTCATTCTTTAAATACCTCCCTTGAATTCTTCTAATATACCCTAGTGTACAGTCTCTGCCGCTACTGTCAGATACCGTACCTGTGCCGCTCGGCGCCTCCGGCGGTGACCGGTCGGCGGGCCGGGACTGGCCGGCCGGGCGGGTGGGGAGAACGGGCAGTCGCTCCCTGGACGTGTTGCTGACCACTAATACAGCACCAAACGCGGTGCCGTCTTCGCTGAGTGCGTGTGGGCGGTGCGACGACATAACAGGCAGCTATAAGCTTGTTTTGACGCGCGGTATGGGTAGCTATAACCAGTCGCGGCGCAAGTGCGTTTGAGCCAGGTGATTCGCAACCGCCACCCAATCAGCATACTGCAATCCAGTGCCGGCAGTGACGTACATGACACGTGATCAGACAGCTGGGCCGAAAGCGCGCCAATTTTCAAAGGGTTTGAGCGCGCCAGTTGAGTTTGAGCGTGCAGTGGAGAAGGACGGTTGTGCTCAGCGCGGGTGATAGCGGGTGTGTAGTGTGTGCATTGATCATTCGAGCAAAGGACGTCGTGGAGGACATCGAAAGCACAGCTGTGGAACCCAGAAAAGACGAAACCTGCACGACAACGACTTTTCGTCGTGCCGGAAACCGGAAAACTCACCCAAGAGACCCTTGGTGGGCGTGTTTGCCCGCACTCGGTGTAAATCTGCATGACTATTTTACGGTCAGCGCCCGGACCCGAGCAGTGCGCAGTATCTGGTCCTATTATCCCTTTTACAGGGTCCGGCATACCGTAAACGGGGGTGACTTTGCCATGTTTTCAACTTTACACGCCTGTATTCTTTAAGCTTGTTAACTTATTGGGATGACTCTATGTTCAAAATACGGATGAAGATTAGCTCTTTGGGTTTTGCTATTATCGTATTTATATCTTGCCTAAAAATATAAATTTTTAAGGAAAATGAGTCGTGGCAAAGTTAAACTGAAAAAGGGGTGACTTTGCCACCATGCCAAATAATGTTTTTTAACGCTTACAAACAC